TGGGTGCCCATGGTCCCACCCCCCTGGGCTGGGCTGGGGGCAGCGGTGGCAGTGGAGCCCTCCAGCCGTGTCCCCCTGGGCATCAGGAACGGGGGTCACCGTGGCACCCACCTGCCTCAGAGAGATGCCAGCTTATGGTGCCACCTCATGTCCCCAGTGTGTCCCACCCTCTCTGGGGACCTCTGACCATGGGGTGGCTCTGCTGCGGGTCTGGGAAGGGGAGAAGGGAGGTTGAGGAGGGCTGGTGGAGCCCACTAACCCCCTGCCCCCCCCCAGCTGGGTCCAGGAGTTCCTCAACGAGGAGAACAAGGGGCTGGACGTGCTGTTGGAGTATCTCGCCTTCGCCCAGTGCTCTGTCACGTACGTCCCCAACGGGTGCCCTGTCCCCAAGGCTGGGATCAGCCTCCCCAGGGACTCAGCAGGGCTGTGGGGGTCCGGGGGGCTGCCCTCCCCCATCGTGGGTGTGATGGAGCTAAGGATGCTCCATGGCTGGGGTTGAGCAGAGCATCCCCAACGTCCCCAGCCCTGGGGACCCCAGGGGGGTGCCTGCCTGTATCAGGGTGCCACGTCTCACCCGTCCCTGTGTCCCCGTGGGCCTCCAGGTATGACATGGAGAGCACGGAGAACGGCAGCCCAGGCTCTGACAAGGGCAAGGGCCTGGAACGGTCGCTGGAGGACCTGAGCAAAAGCAACTCCTCATCCCCCACCCAGGGCTCCTCCAAAGTGCGGCACCTCACCATCAGGTAACGCGTGGTCCTGGGTCCCCCATGTTCCCCCCCGTCCCCACGCCGTGTCCCCCCTGCTCTCTGCCTCGCTGCTCCCCCGGCTGCGCCGTGCTTGGAGAGGGGCTCAGCCGGGAGACGCAGGCCTGGTCCAAAAAATGGGTCCTCAGCGCTGGTTTGTGGGGAGGACAAAGTCCACGTCCCCACGTCTGTGCGCAAGGGATCAACCCTGCCGGGAGCTGGGCTGGATCAGTCCCCCCAGCCCAATGTGGGATGCTCTGGGGAAAACCCATGAATAAGCTAAAATTGGAGGTGCTTGAGATTTTGGGGGAGCAAATTGCATCCCCCCTGGTTTAAAACCAGGGTGGAGGAACGGGCCTGCACCCCTGCAACCAGTCCCAGTGGCCGGTGGCTCTCGCTTGGCCCCTCTCGTCCCCGCAGCCCCCTTCTAACCCCGCTCTTCTCTTGCACGCTGCCGGGGAACGCGCTGACGGTAGGTGCCAGGGCCGGGGCACTGGTGGGACAGGGACCCCCCCAGTGGGACCCCGCTGCCAGTCACCAGTGTTGGGGACGGTGCCCACGGGGCATCCCCGGTGGGAAGGGTGGGTGCCAGGGGACACCCCGCCCC